GGGCTGGGTGGGAGAGGAGGAATGGGGAGCTGCTCATTTCCATTGAAAAGATGAAAAAGTTCTGGAGACGCATAGTGGAGAAGGTTGCACAGCAATACACATGGACTTAAGTGTTACCAAGCTGCACGGAGACAATGATGTAGATTTGCTGGCCTGGGCTCTGTGAGCACTCCCAGCCCTGACAGCAGGGGACTGGCCTTCTAGACCTCCCTATGTGTCATTTATGATCACCCTGTCGCCTCACAAGCTGCCAAGCCGCCAAGTCAACAATGTCAAGGAAATTACTCCCTTTCCCTTCAGACCCAGGCCCCAAGCTTCAGAGAGGTAGGACAGAAGACAAGGCATCCCATCAGGCCTAAACTCAGCTTTAGGGGGTGAAAGGGGTTTTCTTCCACCTAAGGATAGTGTCAGCTGGAGCTTCCTTCTTGGCCTGGAACCCTGCCCCTCCTCAGGGTCCTGTGCTCTCCTATGCCCCAGCTGGCTCACAGGGGAGCGAAGCTGTCTCCTGCCTGGGGTGTGGGTCATCCTCTAGACCTGTGGCTGGGCTGGAATGGAGGGAGGCGTGCAGGAGTTCCTAGTCTAGAGTCAGTGACAGGAACTGGGCTGTCAGGCTCTCTGGGAGAGCTGTCCCCTCTGGCCTAGCCAGCCAACAAGGGCTGGACCCTGGGAATATGTTAATCAGCTAGTGGGTAGGTCCCAGTTGGGGATAGCACATCTGGAGCCTAGAGCAGCATGGCTGGAAATAGACTGGGATAAACATATGGGAGTCCCCAGGGGACAAGAGGGCCGGACAGATTAAGGGGCCTTCGGGCTCAGCTGTTCCCTGGACTGCAAAGGAGGCAGTGGCAGTGGGGGTGGCCTGGATGGAGAATCTGGAGGTAATGGCCTCTTAGGCCTGGGAAAAAGGGAGGGACTCCTGAGTCTGGAAGACAAGAAATGCACCGAGCTGGTAGGATCTCCCATTAAATTTGACAAAGAACAGGCACCTAAGAGTCATAAGCTGACATCCAAATCTGCCACCACCCCATCTATGAGCTTTTTCATGCACTCACTGTCCAGCAGTTAACCACTGATGAGCTGTGAGACTGTGGCTACATCACTTACCCTTTCTGGTCTCAATTTCCTTCTTCCCACTTCCCAACCCCCCTCCCCAGCCCCTGGATTAAAATGCTGTCTAGGATTCCTCTTGGTCGAAAGCTCTACTGAGTCTTGATCTCCGTCCTACTTGCACTGTGGCAAAAGGTCCTGCACAGGGCAGGCAGACACCTTGGTTTCCTCGGACACTCCCTGCACATGCCTGTCTCCCTGCCCTTGGCCATGCAGGGCTCTCCCCAGAGTGCCCACTCCACGCCTTCTTGCTGCTCCAGAGCCTGCCCATCTCTACAACAATCTTAAAGTGGTAATTACTGACTCGGCCATTCTATAAAATGATTTTTATAAAATACATAAAAAGTACTTTTACCAATGTATCAAAAAGGTAATTATAAAGATTACCTATAGGCCTTGGAAAAAAGGGGTCTATGAGACTATTACATGAAAAAAGAAAAATGACAGAATACACACTGTGATTAAAATTGTATCAAAAAGTATATAACCGAGGCAGAGAAAAGGCACACAATATGAAGGCTATTTCTTGAGTAGTGGGCGTAGGTATGACTTGTAACAATAGGAGAGAGGCTTGCAACATAATCACAATTTCTTTTTTCCAACAGAAACATTGCTTTTGGATTTTAAAAAGCCTGGAGATCTCAAATCCCTGTAGCTCCACCTCCTCCTGGAAGCCTCCTAACTCCAGCCCACCATTTCTCTTTCTTTGAATTCCCGTTTCTATGGTATTATATCGGAACAGTGGGGACCTACAGAGGGCAAGGCGCTGCTCTGACTCCAGCCTGCCTCGCGGCCTGGCTCTCCCACCCTGGCTCCCCGGCTGTGCACAGGTTACTGAACCCTTTAATGCCTCAGTTTTCTCATATTTCAAGTTGTGATAACACTTCTGCCCCAAAGGATACTGTGATGATACCCCGTGATAACAGCTGTAAGCATTAGCCCCATGTGGGGCTCAGTGAGCTCTCTGATGTCATCTTTATCATTATTGGCATCTTGCCTTGTTCCTGGTATCTTGGGGGATACTTGTCTTTCCAATCTGGCAACAGATTCCCTGAGGTGAGGCCCGTATGCCCTCAGAGCAGCAGCTCCATGCTGGGCACAGTGCACAGTAAACACCCCCTGCTCCCCATCCCTGCCTCTTCTCTTTCCCATGCATGCTTACCCCCTTTCCCTCCAGGTACACCAGGCAGAAATGGCCCCTGCCCAGAGGTAAGAGGATTCTAGACTAAGGAAGCCCTAGGCTCATCCTATGCCACAAAGTGGATGCTACAGCCCCTTCTCCAGGTCAAGGGCCATGCCAGCGTCCTCCAGCCACGCCGGGACACTCCCTGATAAAGGTCTGGGGACACGGGGGGGGGGACCCAGCAGAGGAGACAGCATGACCTTCCCTGCAAGGTCAGTAGAGGCACCTAGGCCTCAGTGTCCTCCTCTAACTGGGGAGGACAAGACAGGGACTCGTTGCCAGGGTGAATGAGGTAACATTTAGGGATGGGTCTCCAAGTGCACTCCCAGGGGCCGGAAACTCAGGTTGGTGACTAGTACTGCCATTTGTCTAAATGCTGCCCCCGTCCCACACCTTTGCTGTCCCTCCGTATTCTCTGCCTCCTACCACCTCAAAAAGCCCAGGGAAAGAGATTCACTTTGCAACAAACTCCTGGAGCTGAGGAAATGGGGTCTTTACTGTTTTCTGGATGTGCTGGGCACAGTAAGGCTCAGATAAAGAGCGAGGGCCAGCAGAGGTGCAGCCTCTGCTCCTGGCCTTTTCTTCAGGCCACCCCACCACCCCAGGGACTCAATCCTGTAGTGAGGTTGTCCTTCCACCCGGTGCCTGCTAAAGGGGAGCAGAACCAGTGCTAGAGGCTGGTGCCAATTTCTTTCCTTGGACATGTGGCAGGAAAGGAGGTGGGGGCAGCTGTGGGAACAGCCCGTTCTGTGGCTCCACGGGATCTGGCCACATGGGAATGACTGGGTGCGGGCTCTCCCCCCAGCTCTCCCCCCAGGGCAGCCACAGGCAAGTGGGATTTTCTGAGGCCTGGCATGCTCCTGATGGGGACACCCCTCTCCCTTCCTCCTTTTTAATCTATAAGAAGTAAGAGCCCCACAGCTGAGGCCAAGGCTGTGCCCTGGGAGTTGAGGGCTGGGATACTTCCAAGCTCTCCAGAGGATGCTGGCTCTGAACTACCCGCTCACAGGCCCAGGTCAGCTGGCAGCAGAAAGGTTTTTTTTTTTTTTTTTTTTTAACATCAACTCCCAGGCATTTAACATTCCTCGAAGCTTAAACACAGAAACATTTTCCTTACCAGACTGTGCTTTCTGCTTTGCCAAACATAACCTGGCTACCTCCCCTTCCCCCACCGCCTCCATCTGCTCCTGTCTCCAAGATGGAATGATTTATGGTGTGTTTCCCATGAGGGTTTGTGCAGCTGACAGAAGATCTAAGGAGAGAAGAAACGGGCTGAGAGTCCAGGTGGGGATGATGCCACTGAGTCCTGGAGTCTGCCTTCTGGAGGGGTCAGGGCTCAGGGCTCACCGAGTGGGCGGCCCTGGACACCCTTGTGAACTCTTCCGTTCCACAGCCACCAGTGGCCCAGAGCGTGCTGGCAGGCAGCCATGCTTCTTGGCTGGCTCTCTCCTGGGGTGGACAGGCCAGTCCAGAGCCCTTTCCATGCCTGTTTCTCTGGCCCAACCCAAAGATGCAGGTTCCTACTTATCCCTGGAAAGTCAGTTCCAAGAACTGAATTTTGAGCACTCTCATTCTGTTTCTCTCTCATTAGCCCCCATTTCCTAAATAATGAAGGACTGGCTGTGGTTACCTAGCAGCGCCATCTCCCAGGCAACAGTGTTAGAGCAGGGTGCAAATCCCACTGTGAGAGGAAAGGAGGTGATTAGGAACATGGGGTGACATGAGGAAGCGCAGGAACCCCCTCACAAACAGTGCCATCTCCCCTGTTTGGGGCAAAGGGGAATCAGGAGGCTCACAGGGTCCCCAAGGGCAATGTTACAAAAACAAACAAAAAACAACAACAAAAAAACAAGTGCTTTCTGTGAAAATGCGCTGTTCAGCTCCCTGACTCGGATCACCTCTAGGGCTCCTAAAGACTGTGGCTCAATCCCAAATCATGCCAGTTACAATCTCCTTTTCATGGTCATCCCCAAAACAGGCCACATGAGTTGTAAAGGGCCAGGCGGAGTGTGTACAACTTCATGCTTGCCCAAGCTAGCATCCTCTCCATAACAGTTAGCGAATAACTGTTATCTTCAAAATTGGCAGAATTCCAGAGATATCGGCTGCAAAAAAGGCCCCACATACCAGGGTACGAGGAAATGCAGCTGACACACTCTTGATTCAGGACCTGCCTCTACCAAAACAGAATTCAACACTGGTGAGTAAGACCCAGCGACCCTACCAACCCATCAGACACCAGCTGCACACAACCCGACCAAATGCAAAGCTCTCCTAGCCAAGTGGCAAAGGCAAGGCTTCAATCCTCCAGCGGCAGACACTACAGACACTCAGAGATGCAGCCTTAGCATCCTTCTCAACACAGTGTTCCTGAGAAAGGCGATCTGTAGGCTGAAGCTGGGATACAAAAACAAGACTAGTTGTCATCCCTTTGGTTCATCCTGTAGGAGCTTGGCGGACCTGCCGAGGGTGTGGAAGCCCAAGGATCCAGGCACACAAGCTTCTGGAGCTTGACAGAGACAACCCCATATCCAACAAGGAAAATCACTACATTGGAGAACTGTTCTCAAACTAGCTTTGAACCCAAGTCACAAAAAGCCACACACTGAACCAAGATACTGGGTGGTAGAAGGCCTCCTTCCCAGCTAGCACCACCCAGGCAGCCTCCCCGAGCCTTGCCTGGGTGCCCTGGCTATGCCTGGATGCTCACCTGGATCTGGCCTTTGCCCATGATCTTGTCCACGATCTCATTGTTGTCTTTGTTGACCTTGGACTTGTCATAGCACTTTTCATAACACAGGATCCTCAGGGACTGAGAGCCCTCCAGTTCAATCTCAAATTCCTGGGGAAAGATGCAACACAGGCCCTGAACCTCCGGAGCTGGGAGACTTGGCTTCCTGGTAGGTGGGGCCTCAACTTTGCATGAGTGAGAATCGGTGAGGAGGGTCCTTGTAGACCACCTCATGAGGTCTGGAGGAGCTCCTGAGACCTCTAAATCACTGACTAAGTGAATGACGTTTGGGGGCTGAGCTGAACAATTCCCAGACCAGAGGCCAGCTGAGCAGGGTGTAGGAGCTTACTGGGGCTGAAGGAACAGAGCTGTCCACCCAACAGGCTTGGCCATGCCCAGCCAACAGGACATGAACAGAGGGACCAGAGTAGGCCTGGTTGGTGATAAGTTCAGGGGTCCCTTCAGGGACCCTTCACTCACCTCATCCCACTTGGGCTCTGTTGTATCCCGGAAAACCCTGGTTTTGGCTTTGCTGACAAAATAGCCGAAGGAATCCACCTCCAGGGTACAGTACAGGTCTGCAGAGAGGACAGGCAGAGAGATGCTGAGTGAGGTCTGTGACCCAAGCTGGGACGGGTAGGATCGGGAAGGAAAAGAAGATAAGGAGGCATCTGTCCCAATATCCCTTGGGGTGTACTCGGTGTGTTCCCTCTCTCTGGTCCCTCCCCACTTCTTTGTTTTCTGCTTAGATGGCTCTGCCCGGCCCACCTCCTTCTCCATCCTCTCCCCTTGCTGTTCACGTCTTAGGCCCTTGCAATCTTTTCTTCCCTGGTCTTCGCTTGGCTGCCGCCTCATCACTGAGGCCTCAAGCCAGGTCTTCACTCACCATGCTGACAAAGGAGCCACCCCACCCTCACCCCTCCTCTAGATGCCAGGTTTAACAGGGTGTCCCTGGCTTTTGAGGTAGGAGTCTTCAGGGGGCATTCGCCTGTTTGCTGAAAATCTGGAATGACAGTCATAATGACAACAAAAATGCCTGCTCATATTTGGCTTTTTGTTGTTTTCTGCATAGCACTTGACTTTAACTGAAGTTTCTGTGCTTTTGTGTCACTGCTGGACTATACCAGCAATACCATGTGGGCAGTTTTATTTTTTTAGCTACCGGTATACTAGTGGTACCAAGAACAGGCCTTGGACTTTGGTGTCAGAAGATGTGAATTCTTCTCTACAAGGGAAAGTCCCTGGGCCTTCTGGGTGCCAGCTGTGTTCATGAGTAAAACAGAAATGATGTCAGTGACCACAGAGGGATACCAGGGCACCCTAAGGAAACAAGAAGAGGCTCCAAACAGGCCAAGTACTGCCCACTCCAGAGTGATGTCCTGCTTTTCTCCAGCACCCACTAAGGTATGCAGGCACAAAACAGATGTCTGGAAATCAACTATTTCATCCAGCATTTCCAGGTCCCTATTCATCCAAGGATCAAGGACACAGATTCCTCCCTTTAAAGAATTCACAGTGAGGGCCCTCCCTGGTGGTGCAACAGATTAGGACAAAGCACTGTAGCAAGCTGCAGCTGCTTCAGTGCAAGTTCGATACCCTGTCCTGAAGGTGACCCCCATGGCACGGCAGACCTCTCCTGACCTGCCCACTGCTCCCCTCAGCAGTGCATTTTGTCGATCTACCTGTTTTGCTCCTCACAGTCTCTGGTGAATCCTCTCATTGCCCCTGCACCTCTGGATTGTACCCCAGTTCTATATGCATAAATAAATAAATATATCTTTAAAAAAAAAGAATTCACAGTGGAAGAGGCACACTTAAGTGACAAAGCAGAATGACAGGTGATTTGCCCTGGGGTGACAGGAACACAGAAAGGGGAGGCCAGTTTATGCTTAGAGCTCATGTTTGTAGTAAATGCTTATTGAGTGATGGTTTGTGGGCCAGTGGCAAAAGCTCTGGTGCACCAGAAGAAGAGGCAAAGGGCAGACCCTGCTGCCAGGGAGGAAGAGGAGGAGTGGGAAGGAGCAGGCTGAGAAGCAGAGCAGAGCTGGAGCGTGGGCTTCTGGTCCTGTGTAAGAATCCTTTCGTCTCTCTGTGTCTCAGTTTTCTCATCTGGCAAATGGGAAGAACCTTGTAACTATCTGACTTGCAATTTCCCATGGGGGAGAAAAGTTAGATAAAAAGTATAATTGTGTGCAAAATGATGTAAAAATAAACTTTTTTAAAAAAAAAAGTATAATTGTATCTTGTGAAACATTAAGAATTACACAGATTTAGTGGATGGTGATAAAGAAAAGGGGATGAGGGGTGGATATGGTAGTGTGTTTGGTGGTGTACATACATGCTCGTGTTTTATCCTCTTCGAGCAGCATTAACACGTGTGGGAGTGCTTTTATGGAGAAAGAAGCTGAGGCTCAGTGAGGTTAAGGGACTTGTTCAAGGTCACACAGCTTGTAATTGGAGTGCAGGATTTCAGAAACCTGGGGCAGGGGTGGGGCGGGGAGGGTCAGATCTTGGAGGAATGCCCTGCAGCTCAAGGCAACTGGCAAGACCCCAGCCTGAGCAGACCAGAGCACAGCAGGTGGGATGTGAAAAGCCTCATGCAAATCCCATGGGGATTTTCTGTGAAAGGATAAACAATGGTCCACCCAGCCTCAGCCTCCAGCCAGTGGGCAGGGCACACTTACTGGCTGACTGCTTAAACCCTTTGGCAGAGTGGACGATGACATGGAGGAAGCCGTAGAGTCCTGGAGACTCATCGTCTGTAAGAGAGAAAAGATTCCAAGGTAGGGGAGTGAATGGTTTTTCTGCACCATCCTCTTCTCCACCCCAGACCCTGGCTGGCAGAGTATGAGACAGTCTGAGCCCTAGTTTGACAGCACCACCTAGTGGCTAGAAAAGAAGTTTCCAGAGGCCCTCCCTGGTGGCGCAGCGGGTTAAAGCACAGCACTGAGAATCTAAAGCCGCTTCCGCATGAGTTCGATTCCTGCCTGCCCCGGAGGAGACCACATGGCGTGGCAGACCTCTCCTGACCCGCCCGCTGCTCCCCTCAGCAGTGTACTTCGTTGATCTGCCTGTTCTGTTCCCCACTCTGTCTCTGGTGAAGCCTCTCACCGCCCCTGAGCCTCTGGCCTGTACCCCAGTTCTGTATGCACAAATAAATAAATCTTTAAAAAAAAAAAAAAAAAAAAGAAGTTTCCAGAACCCACAGCTTGGAGGGAATGTGAGCTGTTGTTGCGCTTTCCCCTTCTAGGCAGCCTGGGAGGTTATTCCAGAACTACCCTCCAGGGCCAGGGTTCTCCTACCATTACCCTGAGCACATTCCCCCCAACTCTGAGTTCTGCTTAGCCCATGGCGGCCCTCCTCAGTCTAGCCTTTCAACATGGAGGCTAAGTCACGTAAGTCACGTTGCTATCAGAAGACAGATCAGCTCTGACCCCTGCTGGGACAACAAGGGGCAGATGCCATACATATGTTCCGAATGAATAGCTTGCCTTCCGCCCCAGTCACCACTGTTTTTGACTCAAAAGTGCCCATGGATTCCTCAGTTTACAAAGCAAACAGAGGCCTTTCTAGGCATTCTAGGCCTTGTAAGATCTGGGCCTTCGACATTTCTGGCATTATTTCTCCTATGCTGCCCTAATCACCTAACTCCCCCGTCCCTCCACTCTGTTGTTTTCACTATCCACCTGCCTCATACTCATAATAACATAATCCCAGTACACCAAGGTGCCAGATTTTTCTCTTAAGCCAGAGGGGACAGGGGACAAGTTGGGGCCATCTGGGAGCTCAGTAGAAGGCAACCCCTCTATTCAAGTACTTAGCAACAGAGTTGTCCCAGAACCAGCGGAGCAGAGATTAGCCACTTGCAGCCAAGTGTCTGGCTAGGTACTGTAGAAGAACCCAGCAATGCCTTGGGGACTGAAACTGCTGATTGGACAATCTTGGGTTCCAGATCTTACCATCTTTATTGCTGGTAACAGGAATGTTGTGTACAGTCCTAAGTTTGAAGCAGGATCCCGTGAGCACCTGGAGCTCCACTGAGCTCAGGACAAAAGCCTGGAGGTCTGTAGGAGAAGCCGAGAAAGGGGGATGTCATCACAGGTCTATTAGGGCCTGCTGCTCTTTTTTTGGTGGTGGTGGGGGGAGGGCTGCTGCAGGAAGAAAAGTTTAGCTCAAGGGGCAGCAGTGGTCACTGGCAGAGTTTAAGATTCACCTAGTACCGAGTCGCACTCACAGCGGGACTAGGTACTGTTAGAGGGGTAAGAGTGGGAGAGTCTAACCGAAGAGGCTGAAGTATGTGGTATGAGAGAGCAAGAAGGGAGCAAGGGGACCTACCCCGGGCTTTGGGTCTGTTTCTGTTGCTTTTAAGCCTATGTTATTTAAATTATCTGGGCCTCAAATGATTAATAACATCATTTAAGCACCACCTGCCCTGGCAAATTGTAGGGTAATAAGAAATGATGAAGAGGAAACAATGGACATGAAAGTGCTTGGAAATGCCGAAGTCCCATCACATGGACACCACCAGGGCAGTGTAGAGTGGGGCTGACTTTACCCTTCTTCTGTAGTTTCTGAATTGCTTCTCTCCATTCTGACCGCTCATAGTCCGAGGACAGTAGGAACAGGTAGCTCTGAAGAGAGGAGATAGGAATTCAGTGACGTGTCCATACGCAAGTAAAGTACATTCCTGGATTCGGGGCTCCCAACTGCCTTCTCCCTCTAGGCTTGGAGGCAGTGGAAGACGGTGTCCCTTCCTAGGAAGCCAGAGGACAGTAGTGGCAGTGCCCGTGATGGCCAGCAGAGGGCACTGGCAGCCTCCTCGGCGGTGGGGCCTGAGTCCCTGATTCCCACGGGTCAGAGGGAGACACAGAGGGGCAGCCCTGGGCAGAGGAAGGGAGCTGTCTGTCTCATCCCCCTCTTCCTGACCTTTCCATTCCGATTGTGGATCCGAAAAGGGATTGTGGGGGAATTGAGCAGCAGCAAGAACTCATTCTCAAACATCTTCTTTTTCAGACGCTCAATGGCCCGGCTCTGTCCTTTGCTGGCTTTCTGCAGAGGACAGAGGACACAGATGGTTTTCCTTATGCTCAGGCTGTTTCTCACTCAGCAGCTCTAAGCACAACATTCCCCTGTGTACTGATGATGTGTTTTTTTCTTTTTCTACGTTTTATGATGCTTTGACATCTTACGGCCTAGTTGGTAAGGGACAACCTGTAACTCCAGGGTAAGCTAATTCCTGAGACAGTAAATGACTCCTGTGTGAGTGCACCTTTCATACACAACCACCGCAAACCAATCAATTCTGGGACCACACCACAGCCTGCTGCGTTGGGTAATTCTTACAAGCTAAGCCAATACTCCCTCTGCTCTCAGTCACCCAGGGCCTGGAACAGAGACTAGAACCACTCCTATTGCCCAGAGCCTGCCAGCTTTATTCAAACTAGTTTTCTCTGAAAAATTACAACTCTCTGAGTTGTTTTCTTTTAGGAAAAATGACACAGGCTTTGGCAATGCTATCCTTGCTCTCCTATCTCCTGCCCAAGCCTGGTGCTGCCTTGGGTGGTGCTGCTTGGTGAAGGGTAGGCCCCCTTCTCTTGGAAACTATAATAAAACCTTCTTTCCGTGGCACTAGCCTCTCAATGTCATCATCTATAAATTAAATCCCAGGTACTGCGAGGCACCCTGCTTAAGACCTCACACGACTTTCAGCATAAAATTCAATTCCTAGTTTCCCCTGGCTGAGTTGCTCCTCCGTAGCCAGCCTGATATCCCACCACTCCCCTGCTCTACACGGAGGCGCATGGTATCATGCCCTCTCCACGAGGAAGTTAATTCCTTTTCAGCCAGTATCTCCTTCTCCTCCACTTATCTAAGTTTATAATTTATAAAGAACTCCTTTTCCTTTAGTTGCTACTACTATACTTCAAATATCAGTTCCAAAGCTATATCCTCAAGCTCCCCAGTCAGAATTCACCTGTGAAGACTATTTTTTTTTTTAACCCATGAGACTAGCAAAATTATAACAAGTGCTCACAGTCAGTGTTGGAGAGTGTGGGGGAACTACAGTATGGAGGCAATTTTTAGGGGCAAATCTGGCAATTAAATGCACAAGTCCTTTGCCCCAGCCACCCCACTTATAGTCTATCAGAGAGAAGTAGGAGTACAGTGCAGTTTACTGCAGATTTGCCTTTTATGAGTAAAGAAGCAAAAACCATCTAAATACCCAGATCCATTGTGCGTTGTCAAGCAACTGAATAGAATGCATCTGATAAAAAATCTGCTGGGTAGAGTCTAAGTGCTAAAAGGTACAATGCTAAGTGAAAGCTTGCACTGAAAAAAGGCATGTGCACTCTGATCTCTGAAAAAGATGCAAACGCACACACATACATATAATTTTATGCAGATGTGTGTGTATTCTTCTTGTGCTTCCTGTTTTACAGTACTTAACATACACCGTTCTCCAGAAAAATTCCCATAATTAACCCCACTAAATTCTGAACATGAACTCCTGGCCTGGCCTCCACCTGCTGAGTGCTGACTGGCTGGCCACAATCAGCCTTTCCCTGAGCATGCAATGCTCAAGGCTTCCTACGCTTCCCTCAAAGCTCCCTTATCAGACTCCCAGACTTTACAGCTTCCCTTCTCCTCCCCGGCACTCCCAGTTTAAAGGGCCTCAATACAAAGGTCAACTTTCCTGTCCCAGCTCAGTGCTCACCTCCTTCTGGATTTCACTTTTGAGGGCAGAGATCTTCATTTTCATGTCTTCCAGCTCATGGTCTGGGAAAGGGTGCACCTGGGGGCTGGCTTCAGACTCCTCAGGGGATGGAAACACGAGGTCGGCCAGAGGGATGTACCATTTACAGTCGTATTGTTGGTGCTTCCTAAGAACAAGTGACAGGGGAAACATGAGCAGAGGGAACTTGGCTCTTACGCCTGAACTGCTGGGCCCAGAACCAAAAAACTGCCCAAAAGGAATTTAGAGCACTTGTCACAGACGAGAATGGTATCAGCCGTCGAGGAGCCCAACAGGAAACAGACAAATGGAGTAGCATCAGATAGCTTCCAAGAGGATTAGGCAGCAGTGAGGGCTCTGGCTTTTGACCTTTCCATTTTCTGAACTAGAACTGGTAATTTTTTTTTTTAAGATTTATTTATTTATGCATGCAGAACTAGGGTACAGGTCAGAGGTGCTGGGGTGGTGAGAGGATTCACCAGAGACAGAGTGGGGAGCAGAACAGGCAGATCAATGATGTACACTGCTGAGGGGAGCAGCGGGCGGGCCAGGAGAGGTCTGCCACGCCATGTGGGTCACCTCCGGGGCTGGGGATCGAACTCATGCTAAAGTGGCTTTAGCTTCTCAGTGTTGTGCTTTAACCCGCTGTGCCACCAGGGAGGGCCTAAAACTGGTAATTTTAAGCATCCCAAGCTTGTAGGGAGTGAGCAAAAAATGGGTTTACACTTTCCTAGTCCCCATCTCACACTCTCCTCTTGCTTCTAGCCTATCAACACTTAGCTCAAATTCCTTATTCTTCAGGGGAGAGATGGGACACAGGTGTGTTGGAAAGTCAACCTTTACTGACACGGTCACATGGGGTCCTGGGTCAAGGATTAGAAAGACAGGTCGAAAGGTGATGGGGAAGCAGAGCCCTTTCAGTGAGATCTGCAGGGCTGCTGGCAGAGGGTGGACCTCTATTGCTGCTCTCCATGTTTAGCATTATTTCAAATGTGCTCTAGTTCCATGGAGTCACCCCCCTTTGCTGAAGCTGGTAACCACCCCTTGCTTTCTCACGTCCCCAGGGCCTAGCTTTCCATGATTCATTCTGGCCTGAATGGTGCTCTGAGCATATGGTTGTAAGACCCCACGGCACACAGGATGATAAGGAAATGTAGGTGGATGAATGTATGAATGAATACTGGACAGCCTTTTCTGCTTATGGAGCAGAGAGAACCCACACCTCTGGTATAGAGATGAGCTGGAAAGAAGCTTTAAGTCAGGTGCAGGTTCAAATCCACCTCCTCTACTTCTAACTGTACAACCTTGGGCAACTTATATGACTTTTCTAACTCCTTTCTCTCATCTGTGAGATGGGATGAGAATATCAACTTAGCGGAGTTGTTGGGAAGATTAGAAATAATATATTCAAAGCATTTGTCATGGCACCTGGCATGGCATAAGCACTCAATAAATGGTAGCAGAAGATTTAATGAATATTCACTGAATTGCAGTTAGCAAAAAAATTTTTGAGCTGTCTAATAAAAGGAGAATGCTTAAGTAAATTATAGCATATCTACTTGTAACATCATGCAGGAAAGTAAAATGATGATTATGAAAATTAGGCAGAGACAGGGAAAATGCTTATGACGTGAAATGGAAAAAGTAGAGCCCCAAATTGGGCATTCACTCTGATTACAAGTGTATGAAAAAACATAAGAACATTAAAAAAAAAAAACTGTAAGGAAATATAGCAGCAGGAGACTAATGCTGATGTTCGGGTAGATGATAGTTTCTATTCTTTATTATGGCTATGTTACCTTTATAATTCAAAATATGATTTATTTTAAGAAAAAGTCTATGAAGTGAAATAAAATTACTATATTTTCAAAAGAAAAAAACATACTGCCCCAGGTTGCTGGAGGACTCCACAGGGGACAAGGTCTAGCTCCCCCACCTTGCACCCTGGACTCACACATACTCACCCTGCAGACGTCTTCTTTAACTTGGCGCACAGTAGGACATCTGTAAAGAGGAAGACGTGCCGCAGCTTCCGGGAGCTCTCCGACACCTCCACCAGGAAGCCGTCCTTCACCAGCTGCCGTGTCTGAGGGAAACGGCACACCCACCCCCACCTTCTCAGGGGGAGTCAGTCCAGGGCCCAGCATGCACTGGGGGTACTGTCCCCCTGTGGGGAGGGGCGTGCAGGGAGGCACTATATTGCAAATGGTTCAGAGCACCGGTCTAGGGAGCCCTCGGACATAGCTTGAATCTAGATTTTGTCACTTTCTGGCAGTGATCTTGGACAAGTTCCCTTCTCTCTAAATCCCATCTTAATCATCTCCAAAACAGGGATAATAGTATCTGCTCCAGAAGATGGGATTCATTAAGATGGTACATGAACAATGCCTGGCACGTACTATGTCATCAACAACTGGTAGCGTCCTTCCTGGGCTCTCAGCCGCTCCCACCTCTAGTCCGAGAGGGCTTGGTCCTCTACCCTGGAGCATGAATACTCCCCTGCTATTACCTCCACCACAAAAATCCCAAATGGAGCTTCAGAAGTTGGTCTAGTACAGCCCCAGCCTGAAGATCCATTCAGTTCTATTTATGTTACCCCTACATGGGTCCTTCAATCACTCTCCTGCTTCTAGAGGGGACTCCACTGTATGACACCCACTGCATGGCCACAGCAGTGTCTGGGGTGAATCTGGAGCCATCACTAACCTGGGCTCTGGAAAGTCAAAAGCGTTGTTCCCCCCAGAACTTCTGGAGTCTCCAACCCCTGCCACACTCAGGCCAGCTGGCTTCTTTGGGGTTATCTGTCCTGGTCTTGCCTGTGTACATTATACACTGTTTGACCTACAGCTGTTGCAGTATGTAGGTGACAGTGTTGAAAAGACACAATCAAAAAATGAAAGTGGTAGTGTTCTAAGTCCTCTGGAGACCTTTCAGATATCCCCAGAGCCAAACCAGTAGCATTCCAGGGCTCACGGACCAGGCCAGGGATCTGCACCAGGAACAACTTCCTATGCCCCATTAGTGACTCTCCAAACCCTGTCCCTCATTACTTCCCTCCCCAGGAGACACGGGAAGCTCCTAATACAACAAAGGAGCACAAATCGAGTCAGCCTTCACTCTTAAATGCCATTTAATTACTTTTCCCGGACAGGAAGCCTTGTATGTGGGTTAGGCTGCTGACCCATGCCAGTAACTATCCCTCTGACTTTTCAAATGGCTTCCCTCCTAGGGTACTCCACCCTTCCACTAACAGAAGGCCCCAGGAAACATATCTAGGTGCCCACCAGGGACATCATGAACCAGTAGCCTCAGTCACCTCTTGTACCAGCTTTTCCTGCTATCAGATTAGTTCCCTACCTGCTCACGCAGGATGATTACAGGTGGTTCGAGCACAGGAACTGCCAGATACCCTGAGCATCCTCAGAATAAGCCACAATCCAGCATGATAGACAGTCCCAGGAGGGGAGTATGCATTTAGGATGAGCTAGCTAGAGCTCCATCTCCCCTGGATGGGCACAGTGCGTGAGGTTTGCAGATACACAGCCCCAAGTAAGGAATCCAGCGCCAACAGTCAAGGCTAAGAGAATGTGTGCCAGATGTGGAGAGACCGTCCAGGTCTCAGTCTCCTCTGCCTCATCCAGTTAGGATGAATACTAATAGGACACTGGACTTAAAGCTTCAACCCGGGACCTGAGGCTGCTGTTCATGGGAGATCAGGGTTCGGAAGGCACAGACCAGTGGTGAGCTGGTTCTCTTGCACCCTCTTCAGTCAAAGTGCAAAACTGTGCTGGGTCCTGAGCTCACCTCCCCCTTGGGAGTTGTGACTGCAGTCCGGCGGGGGTCAATGTCTTCGTTGATGCTGGACAGGAAATTCTGGGAAATGCGGAGGGCATCCTGTAGCAGTGGGTAGTCTGGGTGGTCCACAGGAGTATGTTTTAACAGGTCCTGGAAAAGGGATGGGGTGGTGAGTCCAGAGGAGTAGACAGTGGGCAGTACTCACTCCTCATTAAAAAAATTTTGGCCAAAAGGGTTCCTTAGAGACCCCGACTCCAATCTGGTTGTGTCTGCAAAATATGAACTAAAAACCAGCCTCAGAGCAGCAGGGATGAGAGTGGGATTCCCCTGTACTCTTGTGCTCATTATTCTTCCCCCTAGTGGAGAGCCGTAGAGTCCCATCCCAACAAGCAGCTGGGAAAGACCCACCCCCACCCCACAGTTGCTGCAAGGACACTGGAGGCCATTCGGCAAGGGACAGGGGAGGCAGGAAGTGTCTGCCTCCTAGGGAACATTTGGCCAAATGTCAAGTTTAGTAGCCAAGCTATATTTAGGCTCCGGATCGGTCGGCATGGTTACCATAGGCCAGACAGGCGCAGTCAGGCTCAGGGACCCTCTGCCCAAGTTCCCAAATGAGCTTTTCTCAAAGACTCCAGCAGCTACCCAAAACTGGGTTCAACCTCCCACCCAACTCCTGACCCCTTCCTGGACACTCAGGGGATCAACACTCACATGGAGGACCAGGGTGCTCCTTGTGACTCGGTCAATAGGCTTGTAGAGGAGAGCTAATGGGGAAGGAGACAGGATAGATGAGATGCAGGAAACTGCATGAGACCTTGGGTGCCAGCCTTCTCCCCCAACACCCCTTGCTTCCCCACACAGACATCCACTCGCAGGATGCCAAAGTGGGTTCAGTGGCAACCGACACCTCCATTCTTATCCTAGGGCAGAGCAGACAATACAAACAGATGGATAGGAAGCCCTGGCAGCCTGGGCTCCCTCCCACCTGCCTTGTCAACTCATCTCCAACCAAGTAGGATATCTTCAAGGATCAGCCCTTAAGCCCTTTATGAACTCAGAACAGACACAGATGCTCTCCTGTACTCCATACCCTGAAACACAGCTATGCCTAGCTACACCCCAGTGTCCCCTATGCACTCTGGGTCACACACAGGACCCCAGCACGCAGACAGAGGAGAGAAGCTGTTCTCCAGGGAGGGTAGCTGTTCCTGCCTGATCATCCTCACGTTTCTCTGGTCCAAGACCTAACATCACCAGCTGAAAACATGCTTCATTCTGATCACACAGTCAGCCTCAATTCCATGAGGAAACCCCCTGCCGTACCCTCAACAACCCCTCCCTTTCTCTCCCCAACAAAACAGGACAGGTTGAAGACCACGAAGGCAGGCCAAATCTCCACAGAGAAGCGTTCTTCTCAAATAAGTAGCAGCTGATGGGGGGAAGAGTCCCAGAAGGAATTCAGGTGGAATTTTGGGTGGGTGTGGGAGTCCTGAAAAGGCCAGGAAAATGCAAGCTCAGCAGAGCCCCCACAGACACACCCCCTGCAACCAGGATGCCAAAAGAGGATGGCTAAGACTCAGCAGAGACAGGTGGAGGTGGCAGCTGGAGGGCCAACACTTCCAGACAAAGCTGCAAGCAGTTGTGCCTTGCCCCACCCCCCACGGGTGGTTCAGCTTCAGTTCTGCACCTGGATGCCTCTGTCCATGGGGTCATGACCCCTCTCCTGCCATAGGAGCAGAAAGAGGCAGGATGGTATCTGGAAAGGAAGATCCAAATTGGGTGTCCCCTATAGGGCTGGGGGTGCCAGGTCCTAAAGTGGACACTCATGTGCTAGCCAGTCCCCAGATGAGAGTCTCCTGAGGGCCTCGATAGAAATAGCCTGTGGAGGCAAGTTAGCAGCCCTCCCCCAACGAAATCCCAGTCTCTGGGCTAGAACAGAGTGGGACCCAGATAATAGTATTTTTTAAATGTTCACTTGGGGATTTTGACATGTACTGATGGTTGGAAACCACTGCTTTATGTAAACACACTTGCCATGACTTGTTTGCAACCCTCCTTCATTTAGTCACTTCAAGAGATCCTCCCCGTAGGCTATGGGAGCTAGAAGAGACAAAGTCAAGCTTGGGTATTGTGAAATAGTGAGGTCGGGCTCTTACCAGCCCATGGGGAACTCTAGGGTCCCACATGTAGCTCAGCCCATCTTTAAGGGGAAAATCATACCCCAAGAACCCTAGAAAACCAAGAGAAAGTGTGGGTTCAGCAGACACCTGTGAGGGTGGGCTCTGGGCTCCCATGGGGGAGGGAGGCTGATACTGCAGTGGCAGCTACCTCCACCCCTCTCTTGGGTCCCAAGTGGAAACGGTTTCTGACTGAGCTGAGAGGTTTGCACAATGGTAGGTTGGGTTTCAGAGGGGTTATTAATAAGCCTGGTGTCACTTCAAAAGTGACTTGGAATAAGTCCTTAGCCTCAGCCTGGGGCTGAGTGGAGGGAGGACAGCTAGGAGGAACAGTGGGGAGAGGAAAGCGGAGGGAGTTCAGGGAGAGGGGCCCTAGGGTGCCAGAGAAGGAGGAATAGCCCGTGTGCATGACCCCCATGGCTCCTGCATGCCTGCTTCCCTTGAGAATGTGGGGTGAGAAGCCCCCCTCTCCTCACTTACCTCTTCCATGTTCCAGGATGCTGGCCTGTCCTGTCCCTGCTCCTCCACTCCTGTCCCTGGGATAGACTTCATTCATCAAGTTGCAATGCCTGTCTCCCCTCCTCCAGGAAGTCTTCCTTACCCAGTACTTTTACAAGTAACACCCAAAGTGGACAAAAGATCACCGCCATGAACAGTTTGGTCTCTTCAGTGTGCTGGGTATTTACTATGTATCTTATCGCACTGAGTAAACTGCTTTTTGTGCATTATTTCCTTGGATTAAAAAAGGAAGCAATTATCAGCAGCCCCATTTAACAGAGTGGAAACTTCTCTAAAGCAGAGACATTATGCTGCTCACACTCACAAAGCTGTAGGTAGTGCGTTTTGAATGTAGGTCTGCTTGTGCTCCTAACTTGGAGCTGACTCTGTAGGGAAGGCAGCACCTGCAATAGCTCAGTAAACTGGGAGGGTTCTTGGAAAGCTCCGACCAGGAGTGGGTGAGCTCACCTCTTGTCAAAATGAGCATCACCCCGAGGGGCCGGGTTCACTCATGGAGGCTTCCTTTTGTGGCACCCATAGCACTTGTCACAGAGCCATGTAGAGTGGGCACTGAGTAACTACTGAGGCGGGCAACTATAGGGCGAGCCCCAAGTTGTACTTTCTATGGGAACCCCAGAACTAGTATCCTGTGGAGGAACTGAGAAGATTCTAATCAGTGTGGTCAGAGAGGCTTATTTACTCACTCCCCACTTACAGCTGATTTCAAAGAGAGTATCACAGGGACCAAGAACCCCCAAACCCCATACTCCAAGCTCTAGGCCTGTTCCACTGAGCTTCCTTTCAGGGAGGGAGGAGGAGGCAAAGGGTCCCACCTTTTAGGGAGGCAGAATTGAGGCTTGACCAACTCCTGCATTAGCTCGAAAACAACATTTCCAAGTCCAGCTCTCTTCTTGACCCCAGCCTGTCAGAATCTGAGCCAAGGGGCGGGGACACTGGGCAGCTGCTGCCTAGCACCCAGAGTTCCCACAGCTGTTGTGCTGGCCCAGGAGGGGCTGCCTCGGGGGACTACTTCCCTGTGAGTGGTCTCCAACACAGACGGGGCAAGTGACAGGCAACAGGGGACAGCGAGGGACAAGGACAAGGCACCACAGCCACCAGGAAAGAGCTAGGGAACATCTCTCCTTCAGCAAACTCCTTTTCATTAAGCCTTCGACTAGGAGCTTGGGTTACCACGGAGATGTAAAAGCAACGTGAGAGAAGGGTGCAGCGACAAAATGTCTGGTGGGAGGGAAGAGGCAGGACCCACATGGCTGCCGGCCACTCCGACACACAGGGGCCTGGAGCAGCTGGCCCTCAGGCAACGCCTGGCCCCCATCCCTGCCAAGGGCAGCTGGGGTCCCTGCTAAGGCACTTCTCGCCTCGGAGAGGAAGGTCCCCTATTTCTGGACATGTCCTGGCCGAGGCCAGCTTCAGCCTCCTCTCTGAGCAGAAGGCTGGCTAACAGCATGTGCCTCTCCCAGCATCCCCCGGCTGGGGCGGCTTCAGAGGATGCTCTGGGTGCCCCCTGTACCCCACTGTACGCAGGGTGTGTGACCTTCACAAAACAGCAGCCTGCCACGCCCCCCTCTCACCAGCATCCATGGCCAATGACCTTCAGTGCCTCGTGCAAGCGCTCCGCGAGGGGCTCCCTGGCTGGAAGCGACCCCGGCAAGCCTGCTCCGTGCTGCTCGCCCAGCCGCATCCATGTTCTCCCACCGCTGCGATCGACAGCAGAGACCGCCGCGGAGGATGTGCACTCTCCACACACAATACCCCGCGCTCAGCCTCCTCGCCTCAATCCGGAAACAAAGAAACTCCCAACTTCTGCCTCAGCCGCGCCCTCTCCGTAGGCACTGCTGTGCACCGACCGACCGAGGCCCCTCTCTGACTGCCTGCTGCTGACCGCCTGACCGCGCTCCAGCCCCTGGCTGCTTGCACCTGCAGGTGCCGCCTGGGCACCTTCTCTCCTGAACGGCCTCTGCAGGAAGTTGCCCACAGCCTCTCCGGGAACCAGCAATCCCCCTGCAGTTTCTTGGGGATACCTGGACCCTTCTAACCTGGTTCTTCCATTTCAAAGCCACCCTGCCCCAAGCATTCCCAGACTTCAACTCCAGGCTGGATGCTGACAGCAACAGGGTGAAATGCACAGCCAGTCACCTGTCCTCCCTCCCTTCCCTACTGCCCCCCAAACCTTGATGGCCACATTTAAGCCCACTCTAGCCAGCCCCCAGAGGTGGGGAGACACATCACCTCCCACGAGAGGAGGTCTGGGTTACCATAGGTGCAGTTACAGCAGAAGCGAATGATGAGGAGAATTTCCATGGTAGCCTCCTTCCCCGCGGCAGGAGCGTGTGGCCATGGCACCCCGGCTCCTGGCTCCCATCAGCAGCCTGGCCACTAAGCCACCTTGCCGGCTGCTGCTGCACAGCCTCCAGAATCAAGCAGCCGCTTCGAGTGCTCCGCTAGCAAGGGGGAGGGGAGGCGTGTGGCGAGCGGGAGGAGGGAGGAGGGAGGAGGAGAAAGAGCCGCCTGCTGGCATCCTAAGGAGAAGCACGTTTGTAGCTGGCCAGCTGCCTGGGGACAGAGGCTGGATTCCTCGCACGCGCTCACACACATACGCTTGCGCGCGAGCACACACACTCACTCACACACACACACACACACACACACACACAGGCAAGACCCACAGTCTACAAACCAGACAAAGGAAGGTGACTGTTAAAAGCCCATTCCCAAAGTACCTTCCATAGTGACTGACGTGTGGCTGTCCTTGGAGTCCTTGGGACCTTTCACTTTGAGTTCCTGTCAAACAGAGGAGAGGAGTCAAGACCTGGCCCACCCCCCTCAGCCACCGTGAGCTCCGCAGGAGGAAGGGCTGGAAGTCTGTGGTGGTATAAATATGAAGGCGAGAGAAACACCAGCGGCCAGTGTCTCCCTCTGTTCAGGAGTCCAGTGGCTGAATTTAGGCAAGGAGGACTGCAGCTGTGGGGTTCTTCAGACCCATACAAAGCCCCTTCAGGAGAACCTGGGGTCTTGCTGAGGGCAAGCCGTAGCAAGACAGGACCCCTCGCCTTTCTCCCTAACCCCATCACCATCACCCCAACAGCAGCCAGGGCCAGTGTACCAGCTGGCCCTTGGGGACAAGCAGCTGTGAGATGAGGAGTGAGGGGTCCTGCACGCTGGTACAAGGGAGGCAGGTGATGGCACACCTTGGACAGAGAAGCTGAGTGCCACAGGGCAGTCCAGGCGATGTCCTTACCGCATCAAGAGGGACCCACCCAGCCCACACCACCACCCACCACTGTCCACCACCTGTGTCCGTGCTAGGCATCCGAGAGGCAGCGGCAAGAAGAAAGTAGCAACGCCCCTCCTGGTCCCATGCAAAGTGACCAAGCGCTAAGTGCTGGAAACAAGCACCAGGGGTTTGGCTTATTTGACCCAAACCTCTTTCATCTGCCTGTAGAGAGAGGCTCCAGCCCCAGCCTTGGGCTGCAGACAATGCGGCCTGTAACTGGAGCTGTAATGCAATCCTTAGCTGGAGAGCTGAGTGCAGAGGGCTCAAGGGGGGTAGCAGCAGAAGGCAGGGGTGAGGTGAGGCCAAGGTCAGGCGCCCAGGTGATGCCTGCTCTGCCTGGGAGAGGCAATGCCCAAGCAGGGGTGCTCGGGTTTCTACTTTTGCCTCTAGACAGTGAAAAGCCCCAGAGGCTGCGCTTGGGATTTGGTGAGTGGTGGCTGAGGTTACTCAGCAACTGCTGGCTGTGCTTCTAGCTGGGGTCTGGATTCCCAGTTTTAGGGGTTTTTTTCTCTACACCCAGCATGGCATAAAGGTATGAAATCAGTTCTGATGCAGAGAAGGGCTAACTGCAGTAATGAAGTAGCAGTGCCAGCAGGAAGTGACAGCGTCAGCGCGTGAGTCAGGGTGAGAAGCTGCTGGCCACAGGCCAAGGGGCTGGCTCTGCCACTGGGGACCAGCGGGCGTGGACAAGAGTTTGTGGGCGAGCATAGGGGTTTTGCCAACTGTGAAGCACAGGCAGTCGGCTAGGTTTAGGGGAGACCCTCCCACTCTCTGGACCATACATGACCCTGAGCACTGGAGCACCCTTGGCAGAGCACAGGTGCTCTGAACACAGATTGGGGGACCCAGGGAGGGCTAGAAGCTGAGAGGGGAAGCACCATTGCTCCAGCCCCAAGAAGCCACCTGGAGGGACTTCCCCATTCTTAGCTCTCCTCCCAGGCAGTGTGACTCACCTGATCCCTGGGTTTGGGAGAAGAAACCCAGCCCAGCCAAGCTCTCTCTGCTCCTCCCTCCCTCTGCAAATGCCTAGCTGACAGGAGAAGAGTCAGCAAACCCAGTGTGGCTGAGGACCCAAGACCACATTTTCCCTGTCTGGCTCCTGCTGGTAAACAAACTGCATTTTCATCTTCACCTGACTCTTATGCTGCCTCTTGACTGACTCCAAACTTGGTTACAATCCATGACCCCAGCAATTTCCTGAAAACTACTCTGCATCTCACCAGCCTTTCTAGAGATGAGAGGAAAGAAAAGACTCAGAGGGCCCTGTGAGGCATGACTCAATGCTGCATAAGAACCCTCTCCCTCTGAACCAGAGGTTCTTGAGCCCAGAGCTGGGAATGGCAGAGAGGTGGGAATGGCTGTGACTGTGTGGCCAGTGGCATGGGGACATCACTGAGGTCTTTCTGGGTAAAGGGAAAAGCTGGTTGTGTCCTCCAGTATTCTAGAGCCCCTCCCTGCCCCTTTCTGGGTAGAAGTGTTGGTGGCAGGTGTACCGCAGCTGCCCAGGTAAAGGCATATTTCCAGCCACTGGGAATCAGGGCTCACCCACGTCAGTCTGCTCTATGTGTGGGACTGCAAGGATCTTAGAAGATCACCCACTCCAGACCTCATCAAATCTTCCTGACCATAAAAGTCACCCGGAACCTTTTAAAAATAGAGACCCCTTGGATCTCAGGCCCAACCTTCTGAATTGAAGCTCCCAGGAAGGTGCAGCAGATGTGGTTTTTAAACCATGCTTCTGGTGGTTTGTGTCAAGCAGGTTTGGGGGCAAACTGGAGGAGGTCAGACCTCATTCTACAGAAGAGGAAACTAAGGTCAAGGGAAGGAAAGTAACTTGCTTAAGATCTCCACAGTATGGGAGAATAACGGCTTTCCCCCGCTTTTTTCTCTCTCCTGTTCCTGTCCCCCGCTTTTTTCTCTCTCCTGTTCCTGTCTCTAACTTAAAACAGTAACAAAGTCAAACAAATTGATATTCTTATACTAAGAGCGAAAATGTCAAGTGCAAGAAAGCAAATGTCAGGCTAAGTGTCACCCAGCAAGGGAATCATTTCTGTAACTGACAAGCGGGGAAAGTTGAGAGGTCCAAAGACTGGAAAACTCTGAGTAGCCCCAAAGCCCAGTGTCATAGGGGTGACTGTATGGGGAGCTGCCCACCTCTGAGATCTTCTGGAATTGGTTGTTGGACTGACTGCACTTCTCCGCTGTTTCCAGAGCGACTTTATAGTTATCCACAAATGCTTTGTACACGCCAAGCTGGCTGGCCTGCAGGGAAAAGACAGGAGAAAGGAGGGCGGCAGTAGGGATGGGGAGAGAGGATTAATGAATGGATGAAAGCTTAACCAGAACACCTGGAGCTCCCATGTGCTCAGAGCCTAACTCAGCTCCAGAGGGCTATCTGGGAACAGAGAATGCAGGATGAATATACTACAGTATTCCTTTGAACTTGACAGTTTCCATGGAAACTGGCTGAGCCAATAGGTTAATAAGGGGGCTTTGAGGGGTGTTGGCATGCTAGAAATTCTACTCATTACAGCATTTAACTTTATTTAGCATCATCAAGGGAATTTGAAGCCCTATACTGCCTCACACCTCTTTCACATCCTGGAACTAGCTGAAGCGGGGGGCTGGGAGTGGGATGGGCATGTGTGACCTCTTCAACACCCAAGCCCCATGTTGAGAGTGGGGCACATCCTATAAAAGCACAGCCCCACTTCTCAGCCTGAGTCCACATCGGCACCTCCTCAGCCTGCTAGGAGCCACGGTCCTGCCTCCTACACATTTGCATGGCACTCTGAACACAATGCAAAGCTTTCCATGATTTACAACTACAGAGAGCCACATTCCTCTGGGAAGCAGAGTGAGCACATGCCATTACCCCTTTCCATAAAAGGGGAAACCGAGGCTCATTAATTCAATTCCTCAAATATTTATGGAAAGCTTTTTCTGTGTCATGCATATGCATTTCCTCTCAGGGAAGCAAAGGGTGGAAATTCTAATTAAAACCACCAGATACTATTTCATACCCATCAATCTGACCCAAATTTTAAAGTCTAATGATATCATCATGCACTGGCAAGAATGTGGGGAAATAGGACCTTTTCTAGTCTCCTAGTGGGGCTATATACATGAATGTAATTCTTTGGAGAGGAGTTTGTCAATAAAAAGAAAGTTGAAAACGGGCACAGCTCAGCCCACTACCTCGCAAATCTACTTCTACATACAAAGCGTAGAGCTTTCTGTTCCATACAGGAGCCGAAGTGCCTGTGGTGACAGGTCACCTGAAATGTGGCTCGTCCCGATGAGGTGTGCTGTCAGTGTACCTGATTGCAAAGGCTTGGTACGCAAAAAGAAACATAAATTATCTCACTAATTTAAAAATATTGTTTAAATTATAATATTGTGGATCTACTGAGCCATGTAAAATACACTCTTAAAATTGACCACTTATTTTGACTTTAAAAAATGTAACAACTTGAAAACTGGTCTATGTTACAGTTCCATTGAAAAGAACTGCTCTCTAAGAAACTTGCATGTATGTGTGTGCATAAGTGTGAGCATCACTCCTCTGTGCAAAAGTGGAAACAAAGGCTCACAAGCAGGGCCCCCACATGTGCTGTAGTTAAAATGGTTGAACTAGATCTACTAGAGCAACACGAACACACTTCACAATGAGTGAAATTAATAATAAACTGGTGACTGTATATAAACTATATTTTAGCTCTTATCTATATTTTAAAAGTCCAGCCAACCCTTGATCCATGGGGGATGGGTTCCAGGAGCCCTGCTGATACCAAATCCATGGATGCTCAGGTCCCTGATATGAAATGGTATAATATCTGCATATAGCCTAAGCATGTAGTTAATTAATTACTACATGCCCTCCCATGTAGTTAATTAATTTCTAGACCACTTATGCGACCTACTACAATGTCAATGCTATGTAAATTGTTGTGGGACTAATAACAAGAAAAAAGTCTGTACCAGTTCAGTCAAGACGCAACCTTCATAGGTCTAACTACTTAGTACTTCTTTTTCACCTGCGGTTGACTAAATCTGTGGATTCACCGCCATGAACAGAGGGTCAGGCAAACACATAATGCCACAGGGCAACACAGAATGTAGCAAGGATACCTGGTAGACCATTCATCCCAGTAGCTGCTTTCAGGTTAAGGGGGGGCGCCAGACCTCATCTTTGTGATGCTTTATGTTCTTGATTAAAAAGCCTGCCCATATATCTTCAGAGCTTAACATCTGTTCATTCTGGGAGGTGAGTACACAGTTGCTAAATTATTCTCTAGATTTCCCAAAGAGGTTCAATTGCTGTGAAGTTTTTTTAGGGGCTCCCACCAGGGGACTAGGGATAGAGAGCTGCCCTGAGTTTCACTAGTGACCACTCTGCTTTCCACAGATCCCGGCTTCCTTAAGGAACCTAAGACATGGGGTAGGGAACCTGGAGCTGCCCAGAGCAGACATAGAGCCCTTCTGGGAAATTAGGAGGGGGCTAGAAAGCCAGAGAGAGAAGCGAGAACTGGGATGCTCACAGAGAAGTGAAGGCCAGAGACCCACACAGACCAAGCTTTACAAAAGAAGAATCTTGGAAGGGGCAGGAGGGCTATAACTTGTCTTTAGTCCAGGGCAGTACAGGCCCAATGGGGAAGCAGTCCACAGAGGATGTCCTAGCCAGCTGCTTTCTAAACCTAAGTAAAAGCCATTGCGGTCCTTCTCCAGAAATGTGTTCACCTGTCCCCCTTTCTCATGAGAAAGAAAAGGCTGGATGCCTAAAGGAGTAGTGGGAGGTGAGCCACCTGAGCAGAAGGTCACCTGCTTCCCAGACACTGCCATCACCATGGTGCAGCATCATCTGTATGTAGGGTCTGGCCACGGTTATTAACTGGGAAGTGGGGGTTGCTTAGAAACAGCAGCTTGGCACTGGGGTGACCTCATAAAACAAATAGCAGAGCTGCTAATTCCCTTCTCTCAGTAACAGATAATCAAATACCCAGAGACCAGCTGGAAAAAAACTGCCTCCAGATGCCCAGCCTGCCCCAACTCCCCCCAGGACCTCCCAAGCATGCAGCCTCAGGGACGTCAGTGCATGATTCTGGTGCAGAAAAAGTGGCTAGCAAATTCACGACTGGGCCCTGGAGGCAAGGTCAGAATGGGGTAACCTGGTGACAGCAGGGTCCCATGATAAAGATAAACGAGGGAGGCCTGTTCACTGCTCTGGGCTGCTTGTCCTCTTAGCCCCCTCACCCACCAAGTTTGCACTTCTGAGAGGTGAGGAGAAGGACTGCCTCAAGCCAATCAGCTCAGGGGCGAGGCCAGAAACATGGAGTTCTCTCACCTCAGTGCCTTCTGGTGTCTTCTCAATAACAACAACAACAATAACAATAATTAGTAGTAGCAGCAGCAGCAATAGTAGTAATGGTAACGGTTAACTATTGAGTATTTACTAATTCATTATATTCTAGGCCCTATGTCAAGCACTTTGAAGTATTAACTCACTTAGTCCAGTGATATAAACACTATTAGCAACTTTATTTTTACAGAGGAAGCTGAGTCACAGAGAGATTGAGTAAGTTGCCCAAAGTTAAAAGCTTCATCTGTGGCAGAGCTGGGATTTAAACTCATCTGTGACCTGGATCGAGAAGCTGAGCTTGTCCTGCAACTGGTGGGACAAGCGACTCAGGACACAAAGCCATTGGGCCCTGAGATTGCCCCTCAATGATCTTCCAAGCTTTCCCAAGTGCCAACGATCAAGGTCAACCATCCATCCATCAACCCATCCATCCATCCACATCCATTCATTTGTTGATGCACCAAGTACTGGGCTAGTTCTAGAGGGTCCAGTGACCAAAAAACTATAGTCTGTCCTTCTGGAGCTTATGGTTTTGGGGAGTCAGGCAGTTATGTGTTCACTGAGGGGATAAGCACAGGTGCTGTGTTCAAGGAGCTGTGGAAGGCTTCTCTGAGGTCGCTTCTAAGCTGAAAACTGACCAGGAAAAGCCAGACAAAATGGGGGAGGATATTCCAGGCTGCCGGAGCTGAGTACAGAGAGGCTGAGGATGCCTGTAATGCGAACCAGATATGGAAAGTTCAGTGTCAGGGGCACAGAGGATGGGGAGCCAGCAGTCAGAGGCCGGGGTGGATGGAGGCCAGCATGCAATGGCTCACCAAAGGGCGACCCACTGAAGGGACTTAAGCAGAGGAGAAGCAAGTCTGGCCAGGAGTTTAGAAAACTCTCCTGCTGCTAGGGAAGGGTGGGAGGTAGAGGGTAAGCAAGCAGTGGTCCAGGTGAGGGCAAGGGATGCTGAGAATGGTGGAGAGGGGTGGGCAGCTGTGGCTATTAAAGAAGCAGAGTTCACAGGATAAGGGAAGGAAGGGGTGGTGGTGGGGAGACACCAAGGACAAATCCTAGGGAGTCTCTGTGGATGGGAGCTAATGGCAGCACCCTAAGAGACAGATGCAGGAGGAAGAGCGAAGAGACAGTACGTTGTTTTGAACATGCTGAGCTTGAAACCCTAGCAGCATCCAAGCAAGAGTTTTCTCCAGGTTCAGAAAAGTAGAGGCCTGAACATTCATCAAGTCCTACTAGCACTGCAAGGAAGACAAGGAGAGACACTGCTCCCACCCACCCCCACCACTGTCCACACCCAAAGAACAGTGGCCACTGACTCCCCGTCTCCTTGTCTGCAAGGCTGGCAAAATTTAGAGGGGGAGAGCCCATACGTCTAACCTGGGGTCCCCCAGAGGACACAGCCTGGGACAGACACAGAGGTGGGGAGAGGGTGTGAAAGAAGCAGTGGGAACAATACCTCTGCCAGTCAAAACATGCATTCTGCCTTCCTTTACCTCACCCTTCATCACTGTGCTCAGTGCTTTCTGCTCCAGGGCCCTCCAGAGAGGATTGTTAGCTGACATGGTGAAGCAGCCCTGAGGTGTAGTGACTGCCCCAGTTCTTGGGTGGGGGTCTTTACACACCCACTAGAGGACAGGGGACCTGCAACCCAGTGGGGGAGCCTTTGTTCCATTCCTGGTGCCCCCAGGTGAGAGAGAAATGGTGCCCTGCCAGCAGCACCTTGGCACATGGATGCTGTCGTCAGTGTTCCTGGAAGCATTCCAGGGCTTCCCTGGGGCCACGGGCGTGGAGGCCCCAGGCCCCAGGCCCCAGTGCCCATATAGCAAGCAGCAGCCAGGCTTTCCACCAGGACTCAGAAATGAGCCAGGCCTTCAAGGAGACCGAGAGGTCTGAGACTGTTGGTCCTCTCCCCAACATCAGCAGTTTCAGTGAGGCCTTGGTAAGGACCCTCGTCTGATGGAAGACTTACCAGCTTCTGGAAGAGGTGGCCCATAGTGACCTGGCTGTCCCACTGCTGCACCTTGGGACAGAGGTTGTCATAGAATTCTTTGTGGATCTCATAGATGTCCTGGATCTTGTAGAAGATTGTTTCAATCTGCTGGATGGTAAGCACAGGCTGGGAGGTGGTGGCGGTGGCCTTTAAGGGCTTCATGGGCTGGAAGAGAAGGAAGAAAGGGTGAAAGGAAGAAGCAAACACGCCTGTGCACTGATTAGCGCTTCCTGACACCTGAATTCTGCCTAGATAAGGCCATTGAGGACGGGGCTCCTGCTGGTTCGTATCAAGCAGCTGCCATTTCAGGCCCTCACAAGTCTGGCGCTATAGCAAGGACAGGGAAACTGACACTAGAGTCTGGCCCAGCAGCCTCGCCTGGCAGGTGTGCTGCTATCAGGACACCTCCTCCCAGAGGGTGCCCAAGACCCCTGCCTACACTGGGTTCCCTTGTGGATTTATCAGGATCCATCCCTGCCTTTCTTCCACAATGACCTCACACTTCCCTATCACCCTTCAGTGGAAGGCTAGCAGATTGGGAACTCAAGTCTTTAGCTGTTTCCCTCCAAAAAAAAGAACAGGGTGCTAGGATTTGGGGAGAGAGTCTCAAAGAGGCCCAAGGCCAATCTCAGCTGCTCTGATATCCCTTAGTCCAGAGGGAGCGGGCAACACACACACACTGTCCATCTCTTGCACCTGCAGCAGACATCCCAAATGATCACACTGAGCTTCCTCGCTCACCTCAGCCTCTTTCTCACTGCCAAAGCTGACAAGCATAATGAATCTGTCTGTCATTGCTGCTTGTCTGTACCAAGGTCCAAGGTCCACAAGCAGCAAGGGGCAGAGACAGCACTTCAGGATCAACCCCCAATGCAGGCTGAGAGCTGTACTTCCACCTTAACGCCTGATAGCAGGGCTGCGAGATGGTGGGGCTTAGGTGCATTTTCGTAGGTGTGATTTCCAAATTTTCTAAACCACTTCCAATGAGTCAGTATTTTATAATCAGAGGGAAAGTTCTTGAAATTTTTAGTTGGAAAAAAAATCCTGGTATATGAACAGTAAAGAAATCCTCCTGGATTAACTTTCCCTCGGCCCCAACAATGCCCAGATGGCACACGTAAGGCTCGAAAGACAGGGCATAGAAACATGCCACCCAGGGGCATGAAAGGCAGAGGTCTTCATGGAGAGCCCAGGCAGACACGGCGGGTGTGCTGCGCCCAGCTGATGGGTGGGCGGGAAGCAGCTGCTGAGTTAGCTGGTCTCTCTCCAGAGACCCAGAAGCAGTAAGGAGAAGTGGGGACAGGTGTGAGCTCACAAGAGCTGTTTCTCACTGTCTCACAGGATTAGGTAATGAGCTCGCTGACCAGAGAAGTATTGTAGCAGAGAAGGAATAGAGGGGGTGCAACTGTAATTTAGCTGCTGGGCGTGAGGGCAAACTTGCACTGAGGGAGACAGCAGTGGGCTGGCTGAGACATGGCCACCAACTCAAGTGGGCAAAACTCACAGAATAACTCACTCTGATGGTGGCAGAGACATTCTAGCTGCAAGAGGAAGTCTCACCACCTGTATGCCCAGACCAGGCCCTGCGGCCCTCCCAGCTCTAGAAAGTCCAGACATGATAAATTAGGCAGGAAAAAAGGTAGAGCCCTTCTTCGGGTCCTCAGTACTGGATCCAACTAATTCTACTGTCCAGTCCTTTGCTAGGAAGTAAGATGGGGTTCAACCTGGTACAGGCCAGCAGTGTGGGTTTGAGCCCCAATTCTGTCACTTAAGTAGCTATGGGAGAGTCACTTAGCATCGCTGGGTCTTGGCTGCTGCATCTGTAAAACTTGATAATATTATGGGGAGGTCACAGCCCTAATTTATATAAAGTATCTTGTATTTTTCTAGTTTAGAGAAGGGAAGCAGTAAATGTTTGCTGCAACTATTATTACTATTCACCCCACAAATTATGTCTAGTGCTTAATGGGAGGCCAAACCTGGGTATTCAGTGATTCATGAAACACACCTAATCCCTGCGCCCTGGGAACTTTCCCTCCATAGGGAGGCCTAATACTGTCTGCCCAAACACACAGCTACATGTGAGGGTGAATGCAATGATGGGATAAAGGGAGGCCTGAGACATGAGAAGGATGGTTTTTCCAAGAAGGAACATTCACCCTGAAGCAATCGGGGTGGAGGGGCAGGGTTCCATGCAGCTGTCTTCCACACCTGGTCCTGGGGCTAGACTAGGCATGGTGAGAGAGGAGCTGACAGAAAACCTGTGTGCCACTGTTCAATGGGCATGGGGCAGGAGAGGGGGCGAAGCAGGACTGGTGGGTAGGGGAAGGAATTATTACTTTTTTAAAAAAATAATTATTTATTTATGCATACAGAACTCGGGTGCAGACCAGAGGTGCAGGGGCGGTGAGAGGCTTCATCAGAGACAGAGTGGGGAGCAGAACAGGCAGACTGACGAAGTACACTGCTGAAAGGAGCAGC